GGCTGATAGGGGATGAATCCAGTAGCAATTTACTATTTCTTATGCAAAAACCTAGGCCAGGAACTTGTAGAGCTCAGACCAGGAGGGGTAGCAATCAGATTTTTTTCATGGATAAGATGATTTTGGGAGCACCAATAACTTGCAGGTCTCCAGTTGGAGCTGTCCCTGAGATCCTAGAATAAAATGACACTCAATATTCCAAGAAAGAAGCAACAGGACTAGCCCAGACTTTTCCTTTAGAAGTTCATAGAACCTAGTCCTAACATCAATTCTGAAATTAGGAAGAAGACTGGAAGAGTGACCAAAGAAAAAAATTCCACCATAAGAAGTTATGTAACAAGGATACTCAAGGTACAAACCCAGAAGATAATGACTCTAAAACTTCTACAAGAAAAGCCTCAGAGAAGAACACTGTGGCCACAAATTCAACTAGAATTCCAAAAATAGATAAAGCAAGAATGTTTTTTAAGCATCTAGGGGTTATAAATGGAAGTGCTAAAAGCAAAAATTGGGAAAGAAATTAGAGCTATGGAAGAAAGAATTAGAGAATTAACAGCTTGGTACAAGAAGTACAAAAACTTGCCCAAGAAACAAACTCCCTGAAAATTAGATTGGAACATACAGAAGCCAATGAGTCTATGAGGCAACAAGAAATATAAAACAAAGTCAAAAGACTGAAAAAAAAAAGAGAGTGCAAGGTATTTCATAGCAAAAACATCTGACATGGAAAACATATTGAGGAGAAAACACAGAAATCATTGGGCTACCTGAAAGCCATTACCAAAACAATTACGTAGGCAACATATTTTAAGAAATCATGGAAGATAATTGCCTAGATCTTTTGTTAGGGATCTATACGGATGTAGAGGGCCACAGGCTGTTCAAGAGGTCTCACTGATGGGTGAAGGCCCCTCTCTGGTGCTGATCTTTGAGCAAAGGTCGCCTGGTTCGGTGCTCCATTGTATGGATCTTTAACAATCTTTAACTCCCCTAGTTATTGTATGGTCATTAGCAGTCTATTCTGGGATTGGAGTCAGATAAGTGCACAGGACGTGCATGCACTGTCCTTGAGCACAGCATGGGCTATACATCATTGTAACTTGAGAAAGAGTTCCTGTTATTTTACTATATAAGTAAGTGCTTTGCTAAAAATAAAGAGTTGCTTCCATCCTGCCTCCCGCCTCATCAATGCGCATTCGAGATAGAAAATCAAGCTGGTCTTGATTCATCAGGTGATTGGGAAATACTAGGCCCTAGGTAGGCTCTATAGCCAAGTGAACTAGTTGTGCACAACAATCTTTTAGAACCAAAGAGAAAAGTAGGAATTAAAAAAAAATCCACCAGTTACCTGAAAAAAAAAACACCTCAGAATGAAAACTCCCAGGAATATTATAGCTAGAATTCAGAGCTTCTGGGACAAAAAAAAAAAAGGAAAAAAGAAAAGATTTCAAAAGGCAGCTATATGGTGCAGTGGATAGAGTTCCTGCCTTGGAGTCAGGAAGACCTGAGTTCAAATCCGGCCTCAGACACTTGACAATTGCTAGCTGTGTGACCCTAGGCAAGTCACTTAACCCTGATTCCCTAAGGGGGAAAAAATTTCAAATACCAATGAAAAAGATAATAAAATATTTAGCAGTCACCACTTTGAAAGACTGGAAAGCTTGGAACACAATATTCCAAAAGGGAAAAGACACAGGCTTATAGGCAAGAGTAACTTACCCCTCAAAACTGAGCACAATGTTACAGGAGAAAAATGGATGTTTAATGAAATAAAGGATTTACAAGCGTTCTTGATGAAAAAATCAGAATGGCATAGAAACTTCAAACTTCTAATGCAGTAGAAAAGAAAAGCCAAAAAAGATTAACAAAAATGTACAATTGTGAGGGACAAAACTAGGATAAACAACTTATACTCTAATATGAGGAGATGATACATATGTCTCCTCTGAATTTTATCATCATCAGAGGTCATAAAGGGAGCTTCATTAGACAGAAAAGAGAGAGGAAGAAAGAGGGAGTTGGAGGGAAAATACTTATAGCTCTATGAGGTGACAAACAATGGGAATCTGAGGGAGTGTCTATAAATTAGGGAATAGCTAAAGAAGTTATGATATGTAAATGTGATGGAATACTATTTTAATGTAAGACATTATGAAGGGGATGCTTCAGAGAAACCTGAGATTTGTTTGAACTGTTGCACAATGGAATGGACAGAATCAAGAGAACAACTTATACAATGATAAAAAATATGGCAAAAAGTACACAACTCTAAAAGAATTAGGAATTCTGATCAGTATAATGACCACCCATGATTTCAGAAGACTATTGATGAAGCATGTTACCCAATTTCTGATAGAGAGGTGAAAGGTTCAGAGTACAGAATGAGACACACACATGCACACACATAATTATATTGATAGCTATTTTCTTTTGAACATGGCCAATGCAGAAATTTTATTGATTACACATATTTATGACAGGTTTTGTTTTTCATTCTCAATTGGGAGGTGGTTGAGGAAGAGTTGCTCAGGGGAGGGAGGGAGAGGAGGCTTTTTGCTGATTGAAAAAAAATTTTAATTTCAAAAGGCATATATAATTGGTTGCTCCACTTTTTCTGTTTTCTCACTTGCTTCTAAACTCTCTGCAGTATGATTTCTGACCTTCTTGTTCAACCAATACCATTCTATCCAAAATTATTCATGATGTTTTAGTTGCTAAATCTTAATAGCCTCTTCTCAGCCCTCATCCTTCTGGACCTTTCTGCAGCCTTTGATGTGGAGCACCTTCTCCTCCTGGGTACTTTCTCTCTAGGTTTTCATAATTGCCCTCCTTTGGTTCTCATCCTCCCTATCTGACCACTCCTCAAGTCTCCTTTGTGGAATATTCATTCATATCATGCTCACTCACTGTGGGAGTCCCCCAAGCCTCTGCCTTTGATTCTCTTTTCTCTTATCTCTCTATACACTCACTTGATCTTATAATTTCCCATATGTTTAATTACTATCTCTATGCAGATGATTTCCAGATCTATATATTCAGCCTTTGTCTCTCTTGTGGTCTCTAGTTCCATATCACCAAATGTCTACCTGGCATTTTGAATGTGACATCCTATTGTGATCTTAAATTCACTATGTCTAAAACAGAACTCAGCATACTCCCCTTCACCCCCAACTTTCCTCTTTTCTGACTTCTGTTACAATCAAGGGCATTACCATCATCTAAGTTCAAAACCTTAATGCCATTCTCAACTCTCTTTTGTTCACTCTATATATGCAATTTTTTTCTCCATGATATCTCTTGCATATGACCCCATGTATCAACGCATAAAGCCAAAATCATCTCTTTCCTGGGTTATTGCAATAGGCTTATAATTGGTCTTCCTTACTCCAATGTCTTCTTCCAATCCATCCTATTCATCTACCAAAATTTTCTTCCTAAAAATGTAGATCTGACCAAGGCTCCCTGTTACTTCCAGGATCAAATATAATATTTTGGCATTTAAAACTCTTCAAAATCTGGCCTCTCCTACCTTTCCAATCTTTTCCCATTCTACTCTCCTCTATGTACTCTATTCTTGAACATAACTCTTCATCTTCAGACTCCATGCCTGGCTGTTACTCATGTTCCCCCTGTTTCAACTCTGACTCTTCAAATCTCTGGCTTCTGTTAAGACAATTTCAGTGCTATCTCCTCAAGGAGGCTTTTCCTGGCCTCCCTAACTTCTACTGCCATCCCCTCTGAGGTTACCTTCCAGATATTCTTTATCTTGCATGCTCTGATTTATATATACTGTTTCCTCCAGTAGAAGTTAAGCTGTTTTTGCTCTTTGTATCCCCCAGTATTTAGCACAATGCTTGACATTTAATGTGTTTAATATAGGTTTGTTGTTTGAGGAAAGGATTTGCATAGGAGATAACACCTGAATCTTGAAAGAAGCAGCATTCTAAGAGATGGAAATGAGTATGACATGCTTTCCAGTTATGAGGGAGAGCTAATATGAGGGACCTGGGGAAGGAAAGAAGAAAAGAAAAAAGGAAGGAAAGAAGAAAACAGGCATTTATTAAGCACCTACTTTTTGTTAGGTACCATGTTAAGTGCCTTACAAATATTTTATTTGATCCACACAGGAACCTTGAGAGGTAGGTGGTGGTATTATCCCCATTTTACAGTTGAGGAAACTGAATCATAAAGAGGTTAGGTGACTTGTCCAGGGTCACACAACTGGTAAATGTTTGAGGCCAGATTTGAACTCACATTTTCCTAACTCCAGACCTAGTGCTCTCTATCCAGTGTGCCATCTAGAAGGAAGATGGAGGTGAAGTTTGTTGTTGAGTCTTTTCAGTTGTATCTGATTCTCCACGATCCCATTTGGGGTTTTCTTAGCCAAGGTACTGGAATGGTTTGCCATTCCCTTCTCCAGTTCATTTTACTGATGAGGAAACTGAGGCAAACAGGGGTAAGTGACTTGCCCAGGGTCACACAGCTAGTAAATGTCTGAAGCCAGATTTGACCTCGGTTCTCCTGTCTTCAGGGCTAGTGCTCGAATGAAGATCATGCAGGTAAAACATTTTGGATGATGATGAATTCCTAAGGTGTTCATACTCCTCTGGGATGGTGAGGTATTGTGGAGATATAGATAATGAGAGTTGAGGCTGATTAAATGGGAGAATAGGGAATGGGGTGCCAGAAAAAAATAGGTACAGTCACTATATTTATTATTTACAAAATTTTCCCACTATAATAAACCAACCTTATTTTGATTTCTTACATCCCTATGAGATAAAGCTGAAAGGGACTTGTTGCAGCAGATTGCATATGATCAAATCTAGGGGGGGAAATGATTGCATTTTTTCATTTCTTAGAATCTTATTTTTTGCATCTGATTGGTTCAAAACAGGATATATGCCTTTAGCAAAGCAAGTGACAGTCTCAGCAATTTTGCACTATATATTTAGTACTATTTACTGTTTATTATAGTGTTTTAATTCTTATGTCTTTAGTGAGACTTCTTTGACTCTGAAGAAATGCAATCTTTTTAATAATTCGTCTGTACATAGAAAGTTGACAGCATCACAGAAAGAATGGATAAGAGGTAAGACCAACAGATTTGTGAGATTTGTAAAGATAAATGAAAAATTAATCTTTCTTAATTATCTGTTGGATTTTTACAATTGCACATCCTACCAACAGCTTCTGTTTAAAACGGACCAATCATTCTTCCTAATTCCAACATTTCCGTCAAAGGCACCATTATACTAGTGACCAAGGTTTGAGAACATGCAGTCCTTTTCAATTCTTCACTCTCCTTCCCTGACCCCCCACCCCCATAAATATCCGGTTGCCAGATTATGTTGGTTCTACATGCCACATTTGTCCCCTCCTCTCTATTCTCACTACAACATCACTTGTTAGACCTCTAATCCTTCTGGCCTAGGCTACTGTAATAGTTTCCTAATTGGTCTCCTTGCCTCCAGTCTCTCTTTAGTAACCAAACTGATATCAGGTGTGGCCATGTCACTCCCCTCCTCTAGAAACTCCCATGCCTCCCCAGTTTCTTTAGGATAATAAAAACTCTTGTTCGGCATTTAAAAACCTTTCACAGCCTGGCTCCAGGCTCTTTCCAGGCTTACTGCATGTTACTCTCCTTCACACACTTGGTGTTGCCTATATACAACATTCTTTCTTCTTGCTGTCTCCCATTCCTAGAATGCATCCACTCCGGCAGTTTGGGAGTCCCAGACTTTCTTCAAACTTGAATCAAGTGTACCACCCCCACTGTTAGAAGTATTCCTGCCTCTCCATATTATTTTATTATTTATTATTATTTGTTTTATTTTGTTTTGTATTTATTTACATATGTCTAGTTTCCCTCCAATAGAATATGTCTCTTGAAGACAGAAAAATATTTTGGTTTTGTATGCTTAGCACTTAGCATAATGCCTGGAACAGAGCTCTTGACCTTTGTTGAATGAACAGAAAAAAGAAATTTAGTGTTCTGTTCTTTTATATGTGAGTAAAAAGATTACTTAATAAATGAGAAATTGGAATTTTATCACAGGCTTTTTGTATGCTGAAAAGTTTCTGGTGTAAATAAATGATTGTTAATAAGGCATTATACACATGGAAATTTGTGCTTAAAAATATCTAAGTACATTTGCACTACTGTATTGTGACTATTTTATCATTAGTCAATATTCTGGATTGTTTTTAAACATCAGAAAAAAAATTCATGGAATCACAGTATTTCACAATTTGAAAGGGATTTTAGAGATCCAGCTAGTCCAATTCCTACTGGTAGCATGAATCCCATATACAATATTCTTGTATTCATTATTTGCTTGCATATCTCTAGTGTTGGAGCTTGTGATTTCCCAAGGCTGGCTAATTCATCTTTGGATGGCCCCGCTTATTAGGATGTTATTCCTTATACTGTCAAAATCTGCTTTCCTTATCCTTCTTCCCCCCATTACTCACCCCTGGTCTTCTTAGTCTAGTCAGAGTATTGCCATATGGAGCTAATTTAATCCTTCTGCATGACAAGACTTCAAATATGTATAGCTGGTAGTACTGTAGTCTACCTGTCCCACAAGTTAATATGCCCATTGCCTTTATTTGAGGCTTTTTCTAAAACTGCCTTGTCTGAAGTTTCCTTCACAAGGAAGTGAAGATTAAAAAAGCTATCTGAAATAACTATCACTTTGGTGTACTGTGTATGACTGTAATTTGATTTAAAACTTTTTAAAAAAAATTCAGTTTTACTTTCAAGTCCAAATTCTCTCTCTCCCAACTATCCGCTCCTGTTCCTGCCCCCCCGCCTAAAAAAACAATTATAAACACATACAGTCAAGCAAAATAAATTCCTGCACTGACGATGCCACCCCACCTTCTGGGGGAAAAAAAGCCTCAATCTGTATTTTGAGTCCCTACCTTATCATGAGTTGTCTGGAATTGTGGTTGGTCATTGTCATGATCAGAATTTCCAAGTCTTTCAAAGTTCTTGTCCTTATAATACTGTTGTTGCTGTAGAAATTATTCTTCTGATTCTGCTCACTTCACTTTATATCAGTTCATACAAGTCTTCCTTGGTTTCTCTGAAACCATTTTCATCTTCATTTCTTACAGCATAGTAGGATTACATCATTTTTATATACCTTAACTTGTTCAGCCACTCCCCAATTAATGGGAAATGTTTCCCTTTTTTTTTTGCCATCACAAAAACATTAATATATTTTTGTATGTGCATCCTTTTCTTTTTTGACCTCTTTAGGCTATAGATCTAGTAACAATATTGCTGAGTTAAAGGGTAAGCACAATTTAATTTTGCTTTCCAGAATGGCTGGACCAGTTCCACCAATAGTGTATTAATAAATCAATTTATTTCTAGCTCTTCCTACATTTATCATTTTCTTTGTCAACTTTGCCAGTCTTTTGAGTTAGGTAGTGTACCTCTGAGTTAATCTGCATTTCTCTAATCATTAGTAATTTAGAGTATTTTTAAAAATATACAGTTATTCATAGATTGTATTTCTTCTTCTGAAAACTGCCTAGTCACATCCTCTAGCCATTTATTGATTAGGGAATAGCTCTTATCCTTATAGATTTGAATCCATTCCATACACATCTTAGAAATAAGACCTTAATCAGAGAAACTTGGTGCAAAATTTTCCCCTCCCCCATTTCCTGCTTCTCTTCCAATTTTAGCTGAATTATTTTACTTGTACACAAACTTTATATATCAAAATTGCCTATTTTACCTACTATCAACCTTTCTTTTGTTTGGTCATGAACTCATCCCATCCTTAGATCTAACAGGTAATTTTCTTCCATGCTTCTCCAATTTGTTTATGTCGTCCCTCTTTTATGTCTAAGGTACATTCCCATTTGGCGTTTGTCTTTGTATATGTGAGATGCTGGTTAATACCAAGTTTCTGCGAGACAGCTTTCTAAATATCCCAAGGTTTTATTGAATAAAGGGTTCTTGACCCAATAGCTGGGATCTTTATCACATTCTAGGCACTGTGCTTATTTGCTTCTGTATATTGTGCAACTAATTTCTTCCACTGATAAACTTCACTCTCTTACCCAGTACCAATGATTATGGCTTTGTAGTGCAGATATGGTACTATTAAGTCTCCCTTTTTTTTCAATTTTTATTTATTCCCTTGATATTGACCTTCTGTTCTTCCAGGTGAATAAACTGTTTTTGTTCTAAGAGCTTTGGTAGTTTGATTGGCATAGCACTGAATAAGCAAATTTGGGTGGTATTATATTGGCTTAGCCTACCTATGAGCAATTAATCTCTCTCCAATTATTTAGGGCGTATTGTAATTTATATAGTTTGTGTGTCTGATCAAGCAGACTCCCAAGCATTTTATACCATCTATGGTTACTTTAAATGGAGTTTCTATCTCTTCCTGCTAGATTTTTTTGGTAACTGAAACGGATTATTTGTGTGGATGTTTTTTTATACCCTGCAACCTGAATTGTTTCAATTAGTTCTTTTAGTTGACTCCCTAGGATTCTTTAAATAAATTGTATTATTTGCAGAAAGTGATTGTTTCCTTTGCTTATATTTATTCCCGCAATTTATTACTACAGCTAGCATTTCTAGCATATTGAATAACGATAGTGATAATGTGCATTCTTGCTTTCCCCTTTATCTTACTTGAAAGGCCTCCACTTTATCCCTATTACAGATAATGCTAGCTCTTTGTTTTAAATAGATAATACTTATCACCTTGAGAAAAGATGTTTATTCCTATGCTTTCTAATGTTTTTTTTTAACAGGACTGGGTGTTATATCTTGTCAAAAGTTTTTTCTGCATCTATTGATATAATAATGGCTTTTGTGGTTATTAATATGGTCAATTATGCTTAGTTTTTCTAATAATGAATCAACTCTGTGTTCTGGTATAAATTCAGCCTGGTCATAATTTAATCTTTGTGATGTTATCATAATCTTGTCATATTTTATTTTAAATCTTTGCATCAATATTCATTAGGGATATTGGTTTATAATTTTCTTTCTCTGTTAGTTTAGGTATCAAGACCATATCTGTGTAACAGAAGGAATTTGGTAGGACCTTTTCATTTCCTATTTTTTCAAACAATTTAGGACAGGAATTGTTATTAAAAGATTTGCTTGTGGGTCTTTTTCCCTCTGGGAGTTTATTTATGGCTTTCTCTAAGGCAGAGTTAAGTCCTCTATTTCCTGTTCTGTTAATATGAGACCATAATTTAATAATTATTAATAAAGCTTAAATACTTTAGCCACATAATGAGAAAATGGGACTCATTGGCAAAGACCCCAGTGTTGGGAAAGATTGAAAGGAAAAGGGGACAGCAGAGGACAAGATGGATTGATAAGTGTCATGGAAACAACAAACAAGAACTTGGACAGACTTCAAGAGATAGTGGAGGATAGTAGGGTCTGTTGTGCTATGGTCCATGGTGTCATGAAGAGTCAGATATAACTAAACAACAACAATAACAATAATTTAATAAATCTAAAAGGAAGGAACACAGGTAGATCTACAAAGAATATAAAATTCAACACTCACAAAGCAGCTGAAGGACTTGCTTTTATTGTTGCAAATTTATACTAGGAAGTCAACATTTAATTTTATAATCCATTGACCATAAACTGTTTATAAAATGTTAAAATCCTTAAGTTGTACATTAACGTCCTATATACCACCCTCCTTCAAGTCTGAAGAAAATTATTATTGAGTTCCATAGTCAGTAGTCTCACTGACAACACTTTCTCTGAAGTCTTACACTTAGCTTAGAATTAATAAAGGCCAGTATCAAACTGACTTGAAACCTGATTGTGTTCCTGGCTCAGGAAAACCTATTGTAAGTAATTTAAATCCTCAGTGAAAAACAAAAAACAAAACCTAAAAGTAGATGCCTTTTTAGATAAAATGAATTAACTTCCCACATAAAGATAAAATGAACTTTTATAAATTTTGTCCAGATTATGGTAGGTTTTCTCAACTATTATTTCCAAAATACCTGATTACATTATTACTTGCAAATAATTTACATATAGATTTAAAAAAAACTTTTCCCAGCATTCAAAATGGTTAAGGAAATCACATAACATTAAAAATTGTGAAAGTACACTGTACATATTGCACCTTTCTGCAAAGCTGGGCAACTATTTCCCATGGCAAGAAACTACTGAATAAAGTATGTCTTATATGTATAGGTACTTAATTTTTTCCCTGAAAACGTCAATGAAACTAGCAAAATCAGGATTTAATGGATTTCATTCTTTAAGAATTGTTTTAAATAATTTAAGAAGAAAATTCTCAGGTATTGAATAGTTGATGTACAACCTTCTTTTAAAGACTAAAAAGATTCTTAAATTACACCATGTTTCCTGGTTACTTTAAGCTTTCCCTCCCTTAATCCCCCATTTATTAACTGTAATTTTCATCTAAAGGCAAACAAGGATACCCTCTCGAAACAGCTATTCAATTTGAAATATCTATTTGTAGCTACCTGTTTGCACTTTAACTTACAAAAATGTCTGCATTCAAAAGGGTCTTAATTTTTTCTAGAGCCAAAGTGAACGAAAAACTTGAAAGAAAGCTATTTAAACTATTTTGCAAAAATAAAAACAATTCCCAAAATGCTTGACAGAAACAAGCTATTCATTCTCATTTGTGTTCCACTGAAGACATTATTGAAACCTGTTCATTTCTTTAGCACAGCAAAAACACATCATCTTATTCCAAATAGTCCACTCTGAAGGTCTTCGGAATGTTTTAAGACTGGCTGTAGCTAGAATTCTGACTTCCATTTGGACCCTGTTCTCCTTCACTGTTCAAGTAGAGAGAAACAGACATTAAAAAAATTAGAAGTAAAACAGCTTGATAAATCCATTTATTAGTTTTTTTAAAAACTATTGTTGCTATAACCCTATAAGACAATTTTATGCAGAATTATTTAAAATTCAGGCAGCCAATTTTTGGTCTCAGGTTTTTATCTACAATACAAATTATGGTCAGATCAAGAAATGAAAATTAATTTTTTATTTCACCATGTTAGGTATCCATCAAATGTGGAATAGATCTCTCTGGAAAAAGTTTTCTTTAAAGTTCATTTCTGTGTATCAAATCTTTACCCACAAACTACCATTACAAAAAACAAGACATGAGTTTCTACAGACAAATGTATCAGTCTGGAGACATAATCAAATCATATTTAATAATGAGGTAAAATTTTTATAAATTACAAGAAAAAGAACATACTGAAAATTCAACATTTTTTCCCCCAAAAGTCAAAACAAAACATTGCAAATATCAGAAACTGTGGCAGAAGTTGTAACTGCCTTATCTTGCTCATCACCATCTTGATGATTAAAAGGCCCTATTATTGGTGGAATATCAAATAATTTTTGTAATCAATGAACCTAATCGGTAGCTATTTGATGACTTCTGTTTTAGACAGCTGTATGATTTAACCCTTCCTAAAATTTTTAACATTCATATTTGAGATTAACAGTAAGGACTTGCAAAACTGTCATGTAATATAAAAAGATATCATTTAATTGGTTTCTGGTTAACTGACACAAAGAATATGTAATTTCTTTACTTTTCTTCTGCTGTTTGACCTTACCTATTCTGTATTGGTTCCTTATTTACACAGTCTTTTTTCCTGGGACTACACCAACTGACCTACAACACCATTTGTAATGTACTCCAAGCCTTTTGTAAGGAATGACAATGCTTTATTGAATCTGTTTTATTTGGTGGACAGCCAGAAATACTTCAAACACACCTAGCCAAGTCATCTTCAAGATTCCATTTAACTGATCATTTTTATTTCATCATCACATTAATGATGCATTGTTATTAGGAATCTCTAACTGCAGGATTATCTGCCCAGTCATTTCCTGGCATGGCCACAGGTGGAGGTTCTTTACGATTTATGCCTTTGAAAATGATATGTCTTTAATTACAGGCTAAGTCAAACCATCACAGTTTTAGGGAGGTAGTCTGTCCTCAGTTTCAGATAAATCACTTGGATTTACTAGATAGCAAGGGATACTCTTAAGGATGAACAATGTTTTTGGCAAAACTAATTTGGTCACATTATGTTTCAAAAGCAGGGGGAAAATATTTGTATTCAACTAAGACTTGTAATTTAATAACATTTGAAG